GACTTAAAAACCAAAACACACACATACATACATACATACATACATACATACATACATACATACATACATACATACATACAGAATCATACATACATATATAGTATATACACAGACACACCATACACGCATTTTCGTCTTCGACTATCTGGAGGGGTAGTTATCTTCTCCGAGACTCTCCGTCTGTTTGTATACCTTTATCTACACCTGTCCGACTCTGCCGGCTGCAGTTACAGAACTGCGTGAGCCTAGTTGTGTCTTTGACTACCCGGTGTCTCCATCGATGTCTCTCCACATGCCTATCCGCCTAGGCACCTATCCACAAGCTACCCCACAGCTCGCACCGAGGAATCTGCTCCTGCCAACCTTCCAAGTCCAGCTTCCAAACAAACTAACTACGAGCATGTACCTGGTCCCTTCCTACCTACCTGCACTCCAGCTGCCTACGGATCTATACATGATTCTCACCCATCTCTGCAATGTCCTGGGCTGCCATACATATAGGCTGAACCATGCGCATTGCAACCAAGAGTCTGGATTGTCCGGATGCGACTCTGGACCCTCAGGAGACGCCAGAAATAGGGCGGAAGGCAGGAGGAATGAAGCAACAAAAGGGGGGTCTTTCGGGCTGTTCGTTCCATGCTGGGACAAGGGGAGGCTTCAAGACATCTGCAGACTGAAGCCGGCAACCTCTACTCCCGTTTGAAGACCAGGAGCCGTGTAGTTGCTCTTGATGCCCGGGTTGGGGTTCCAATAGTTCCACTTGCCGTACCATCCCCACCAAACATTGTGGTCGCGGAGGATTCGCTGCTGCTTGAGATACTTGACCTGGCTGGATCTCGAGTTTTAGGAGGAACAGCCGGTATGTCTCACAATGCGAGCTATCATTCCCAAACCTCTCAAAAGGGGTCAAAGGCCTCCAAAGGAACTGAAGGATCGAGCTCCGGGGGTTTAACTTTCAAAGAGGCCATTTTTCCCTTTCTGAAGAAGTCGCTACAGCAACGGAGCCTTTCGGCCGTATGGTGATTTGGACTGTCGGCGCAGATTCCTTGGCTGTGATTTTCGCTGCAGAAGAACTTGCCTGCTCTCTGCACTCATCCGAAGCAAAGGCTGGACGAACTCCTCAGTGGGAATAGGTAGCAGAACATCTATCTACCGCTGCAGGCCCATGACAACGTTACAATGGAAGCTGCTGTGCTTTACCGTACGACAGAATAGAAGAGAAAAGTATAGTTAAAGTATATAGTGGAGATTTATGGTGTCGTATCGTATATCGCAGAGTTCAGTCTAGCCGAGTATAGTATTTGTAGAATGCGACATCATATTTCTGGCAAGGCGCATGTACTGGCGCCAAAGGGGTCCAGAAGCCGCCTCCTTACCCAAGCCCGGGCAGATCTTCTCCTGCGGGCTCGTCGGAGTAAGGTTTAGGGTTTGGAGTTCTTGATTTCGGATGTCAGGCTTAGGGTCTAGAATTTGGGGCTTAGGCATTGGGGCTTACGGTTCTTCATGAAGAAACAATCAGCAGTACTGGAATGCCTCGCTTGTGTACTCATGCAGACATGCCACACAAGCATGCCAAGTCATGCCTAAGCATTACCCAGCAACGACAGCGGCACAAGCTTGGCTACATGCTTCTTCGCATATTTCGGGCACATCACGCCTCGATGGGCTGGTAGGTCCAGACCCGTCTAGACAGGTTGGCTCGGCGACGTGCCTGAGCGGGCCAGCTTAGGGGAGTTGCACTGACGCTCAGATAGCTATCAAAGCATGTTCAACAAAGGTGCCAGAGCCAAAGCCACGGCAGAGGCACCAAGCAGCAATGCCGTGCTCATGCCTGTTGAGGCAGCCTGCAGCCAGAGCGGCTTTGCAGAGAGTTCAGCGCTAAATCCGCTTGCCAAAGTCAGTATGCAACTGTATATTATCAGCACCTTTGCTCATTATTAAGCTTCTACCCGCGCTTTGGCGCTGGCCTGCTTGGGCGGCACCGGCAGCTCCGCATCCCGAATGACTGAAGGAATGAGGCCTGAAATTCAACAGTTCAGCTGTCATGCATAACTCGGCTCCAAACACCTACCCAACTCACCCCCACTTCCACCACCCAGCCGCCCAAAACGCGCCCTCAACTGCGGCAAACTGCAGCCCTCAGGCCCGCAAGCTTCCTACTGTAGGTCCAAGCGAAGCTACCCCCAACCCTCCACGCCGCCCCGTTCAGAGTCTACTCTAATTTGCTGCCCTGCACTACGCTCTTACTGTACGATACCATACGAGACTGTACTATACTGTGCTGACTACACTACACTACACTATACCAAATTACACTATACTATACTATACTATACTATACGACACTATAGTCACCATACTATACTACACCAAACTGTACTCTACCCTACCTTTCTCCGCAAGAAAAAGCCCCAGGGGCCGCTCGGCGCTCGCGCCGTGGGCGCGGAGGGGGCCAGGAAGGCCACGTCGGCCAGCGCCCGGTGGGCCAGGAGGAGGAAGCCCAGGAGTTTCATGGCCTCATAGGGCTAAGGCTTCAGGGTTTGGGGTTTAGGGTTTATGGGTTAGGGTTGAGGGTTTAGGGCTCAGGGTTTGGAGTTTGGGGTTTAGGGTTTAAGGGTTATGGTTCAGGGTGTAGGCAGGATTTGTAGTCGGTGTTTTTTGTGTGCAAAGTATATCTCGTGGCCCTGGGAGATGTCACTAGCACGCAATCCTTCGGCGAGTTCGGGTTCTATGTCATGTAGCTACGTTTGTGTGTGTGCGTGTGTGTGTGTGTAGGTAGAGATATATATATATATGTATCACTGCAACTCTGGTGTAGAAACGGCGGGAGGGAGCTGTTGAGAGCTTGCCTTGTACTCGGCGGTTGGGGTGGTGGATGCAGACAGAGTTCGGTCGGCTCAGGTTTGGGAAAGGGGCGACAGGCTTTTGATTACTTCCTTCCCGCAGGTACACAGCTTCCTACCGAGACGCAACTCGAGCCCTGAATCCCTTGGTCTTCATCTTATGACGGATAAAAGAAATCAGCAGCTGTCGGCAGTCCACTACATGTTGTCAGGCATGCTGCTATGATATTCCCAAAATGTCCTCGCTCGAGGGAACCCCGACGGGTTATTGTAAACAACTCCGCAGGTGGTAAACACCATCCAACAGAGCCAGAGTCCAACGCTTCTCGACGCAGCTTTGAAGGTCTCTGGCGTGAGGGGGGCTGCCCTGCCCCTTGCATCCTAGGCGCTCGCTGACGGTACGAAGACCGAGAGCGGTGGAAAATGCACAGCCGATGCAACCCCTAGGGAGCCACAACGGCTGCGGCATCTCGATGTTGCAGCCGGCGTTCGACGGCAGGGTGGCGGGGTCTAAATTAGGGACTCAACCTGCACGATTCTTCGACTTTTGTTGGGTGAGATCAAGGCCACTGTACAATCTCTGTGCTGGGCCAGACAGCCCAGGCCAGGCTTCCAGTCTTAACTGCAGACTGTACTGGTCATGGCGGCTACTCTGAAGCTGAAGTGGACAGGCTGCTGGAGTCTTGCGCACCATTGTGCGTCAGTACGCTCAGCGCCAGTCTTCACCAGTGCAACAGCAAGCGACGGCAACCAACACTTGCGGGCCAACCCTACGTGAATCAACTGGGCAGCGGGTAGACGGATAGGTGGGTTTGCCGGTGGACAGGTAGGAAGGTAGCCATGAGCAGGTAGGTAAAACCGTGCCTCTGTCACAGCTGGCAACTGCTAGTACAGACTCTGCGTAGTGGACAGAGCATCACACCGAATTCACTCCCAGGTCCAGCCAAGACGACTGTTGGCTGACAGTTCCCGGCTCCAAGTACACCAAGTGGTTCTATACTCTCTACTTCATGCTTGTGCAATCGAGTTCGGTGCAGCTCCAGCCAGGGCTGGGTGTGCAGTGGCATCTTGGACGCTCACTGCACATTGTGCATGATGCCTTGGATGCCGTGGCCATCTCGCGAACGGAAGGATGGCTCAGGAATGCGTGTCACATATCGTGGCAAGAGAATCGTAATCTGTGCGTCTTCCAAGGACCCCGTGAAAGATAGACGAGAGAACCAACAGGTGCCGCAGGTGGGCAAACTTCCTTGCACTCTCAGCAGACCCCGATGATGACGCAAGCACCTCACAGCAGCTCAGCAGGTCTAGCATAATCCAGCCGCTTAGACCAATTACGTAGTGAACTACCCCAACACCCCATAATATGTGCTGGTGAACACTAGTAATTCTTAGCAACGGGTGCTGACATCATGCTCTTATTCTTGCGTGCATGGCACTTTAAACTCCGCGGTTGCATTAGTAGCAATCGCAGCAGGTGCGTTCGCTCATGGAGTAGTACTAAGTTACTGCTACTACTCCGACTGTCGCGTCGATGACCACCACGACAACGACAACGACCTGCTGCCACTGCCACTGTGCTACTGCTACTACTAATGTCCTGCTGCTTCTGCTACTACTACTACTACTACTACTACTACTACTACTGCTACTACTACCACTACCACTACTACTACTACCACCACTACTACTACCACCACTACTACTACTAGTACTACTACCACTACTACTACT